TTTTTAAATAGGGTCTTGCTTTTTAAATCCTGGCTATATTTGGACCTTAGTATGCCTATTTTAAACTTTTTATTGTTGCTGGGATGATAAGCACACACTATCTGTCTAGCTTCCCTCTGTTGAGAGGCAGTCTCAGGATTGTTCTGCCCTTTTTTGGTAATCTTAGCTTGTCAAGTAGCTTAGCATAACAGGCTCTCACCAGTGTGCCCAGGTTGAGAAGGAGTTTCATGAACTTTTCTCATGATCATCAAACTATGATGCTCCCATATCCAGGCTCTTAAGTAGCTAGGATTATAGATGTGAGCCACTGGAACCAGCTTGATTACTTTTTTTTTCTCTTCATGGTACTAGGGTTTGAACTCAGCCTCACTATTTGATAGGCTAGGGCTTGATTCTTACCTCTAATTATGCTTTTCACTAATTATTTTGGAATTTGAATCTAGCAAACTTTTCTGCCAGAGCTGGTTTTAATTTTTTTTTTTTTTTAAAAAGAGGTAGCCGAGTAAGAACAGCAGCATGTACGTGGTATTCAGGTAAGGGGTAGGTTTATTCAGTAGACCTGCTGGGACCAGGCAAGGTTGGCACTCCATGTGGCTGGGAAAGGCCTGGGAATGAGAGAGAGCTGGGAAAGAGAGAGAGGAAAGAGAGAGAAAAAAGCTAGAAAAGAGCAGAGAGAGAAAGCAGAGAGCTAGAAAAGAGCAGCGAGAGAGCCAGGGCTGGTTTTAAACTGTAATCCTTTATATCTCAGCCTCTGTTAAAGAATCAGTATTTTTAAGTGTGTAATCCATTAGTGTTTCATATACTTACCTTAATAGTGCTTAATAGATTTACTTAGTACTTAATATCTTATGAAACCAGTATCCAGAACTTTTTTATCACGCAGAATCTAGACTTTAACCTTTGAAACTATTTTGGAGTTATAGAATTGAGCCCACACTACAGTTTCCAAGTTTTATCCTCCCCCGCACAAAGTTGCCAATATTTTATATTAATGTACATTTGGTACAATTAATGAATCATATTGGTACATTTCTGTTAACTAAAGCCAATACTTAGAGTTTTTACTTAATGTTTTTAAAATTTTCTTTTTAAGGATTCCATATAGCATGTAGCACATTGTATTTAGTTGTCATATCTTCTTCAGTTCTTTTTGGCTCTTCTAGTTTCGGGCTTTTTGTGTTTTTTGGATGTTTTTTTGGTCGTGGGACTTGAACTCTGGGCCTAGGCACTGTCCCTGAGCTCTTCAGCTCAAGACTAGCACTCTGCCACTTTAGCCACAGCATTACTTCTGGCTTTTTCTGTTTATGTGGTGCTGAGGAATCGAACCCAGGACCTCATGCATGCAGTCTACCACTGAGCCACCTTCCCAGCCCTTTTCATGTTTTCGATGATCTTAATAGCTTTCATAAGTTGTAGGCAGGTATATATATTGTAGGATATTTCTCTGTTAGAATTTGCCTTTCTTAGGACTAGACTAGGGATGTGTGTTTTTATAAAAGAAACTTTTGAGTTAGAATGCTTTTCTTCCGTATCATATCAAGGGTACATATTACCTTTTGGTTACTTTAATATGCTTTTTCAGATATATTATTTCAACGCTTTGCAAAGCTTTTCATTGGCTGTCTTGCAGCAGTTACTAGTGGCATGATGTATGCACTCTACCTGTCAGCATATCATGAACGGAAATTTTGGTTTTCCAACAGGCAGGTAAGAAGAATTTTGAACATATAAAAATGACACAGTAGTTAAATATTTGAATGTTTGCTAGGATGTAAAAAAGCAAGTCTGTTAAATATGACAAGTGCTCTTTTATTTATGACTATTAAAAATGATATAAAAACTTTTGAGAACATACAGCTTTAAAATATGTCATAGGATAGATATCATCTCATGGAATAAAAACTACGGAGGTACTCTTCTGGTGAAGTTCATTTATCAGGGACAGACTGTTCAAGAAATTCCTGCTCTCAGTTTATTAGAACTGGATCTAAGTAAGTTCTCATGAGACTGAAAATAGAAGTAGGCAGATCAAGATTGCACATAGTATAATTTATTGAGAAATATATACAGTGTGTTGCAGTAAGCTAAGTGAGATTTAGATCAGAAGGATGGGTCTTATTATAAGATCAGAACAAAGGTAACTTTACCCAAGCCAGAATGTACTTGGTTTATCTCATGCTTACATCAAGTACTTTAGGCACATTCTTGGTACTGTGATTCCACATACCAGTGAAATGGTTTTGTCTATAGAATGCTGTGAAACTATGGGAGAAAACAAACCAAGGTTACTCTGAGGCAGTCAAGGCAGTCATGTCTCAAGATAGCTGTGGTCAAATCAAGCTACCTCCCTACAGCAACTTTCAATAATAATAATAACCTACAGCATTCAGTCAGGCTCTTAGTAGTTTAGACGCCTCACATTTCAGAAATTTGTGTGGAATTTCAGCATATATATATATATGCATATACACACATACTATGTTATGCATATGATATATATTAAATATATGTATGTGTATACATTCAAACACCTTTTTCTTTTTGGTAGTGAGAGTTGAACTCAGGGCTTCACACTTGCTAAACAGGTACTTTACCTCTTGCGTCACTCCATCAGCTGCTCTTCTTTGCACTGGCTATTATTACTGTTTTCTTTTTGTCAAGCTGAAGACTGAACTCAGGGCCTTGCACTTGCCAAGCAAATGCTCTTCCACTGAGTTAAATCCCCAACCCCTGCATTGGTTATTTTTAAGCTGGGTTCTTGCTTTATATCTGGACCACAAACCTCTTTTTTTTGTCTCCCATTCATAGTTGCAGTGTTTGGTGCAAATGCCCATGCCCACTCACTGTGTTTTCCTCATAATTGGGGTGACAGGCATGTAACATTGTACCTAGCCCTTGGCTGAAATGGAGTCTTGTGAGCTGTCGTCATGACTGCCATCTCTGTCTTTGAAGTAGCTAGGATTGCAAGCTTGAGACGCCAAGCATGATTAAATCATATAAATTTTTTGAGTTGTATTATAGCATTTTTGAAAGGGTTAAAATAATAAAATAATATTAAGATCTGGCCTCATCACTATGTTTAATGTTTGGCTTTAAGTTATGTGTATTTTATGGACTTTTAAATCCTTATAACAATATAGTGTAATGTAGTTATTATCTTTTATTTTGTCAATGGGGGCTTAAACTTAGAGCCTGGGCAATGTCCCTGAGCTTTTTTGCTCAAGGCTAGCATTCTACCAGTTTGAGCCACAGCACTACTTCTAGTTTTCTGGTGCTTATTTAAGGATAAGGGTCTCATGGACTTTCTTGCCTAGGCTGGCTTCGAACCTCAATCATAAGATATTGGCCTCCTGAGCAACTAGAATTATAGGCATGAACCACTAGTGCCTGGCTTGTTATTACCTTCTTATATAGTGAGGTATTTGGGGATGGGACCCAAGTCTAACATCGTATTTGTGTATATTTCACATACACTTTGTAAAATACTTTTAGTGTTTCTCTGTTTTTACTATTACCCCTTAAGTGAGGTCAACTATCGAGTCTTCTCTCCCTCTCCCTCTCCCACTCCCTCTTTCTTACCTTTCCCTCGCCTCTACCTGTGCCTGCCTTGGGGCTTGATCCTGGGCCTTGACCCAGCCTGGCCTCTGATCCCGAGTTATTTTGCTCAAGGCTAGTGCTCTACCACTTATACCATAGCTCCACTTCTAGTTTTTTGATGGTTAATTGTGGAGATAAGAATCTCATGGTATTTTTTTTCTGGGCTGTTTCAAACTGAAAAAGATCCTCAGATTTCAGCTTCTTGAGTAACTAGGATTACAGGCATGAACCACCAATGCCCAGCTTTTGTTTTATTTTGTTATTTCTCTTTCTCTGTCTCTCTGTCTCTCCATCTCTCAGTGGTACTGGAGTTTGAATTTAGGACCTTGTAAGATTGCTAACAGGCACTGTACTATTTGATCCATGACTCACATATTCTCTTTTATTTTGTTGGTTGTGAAGCTTGAACTCAGGGCGTGGATGTGTCGCTGAGCCTCTTAGTGCTCAAGGCTAACGCTACCACTTGAGCCACTGCACCACATCTGGTTTTTGAGTGGTTAATTGGAGATAAGAATCACAGGGACTTTTCTGCCTAGGCTGGTTTTGAATTGCAATCCTCAGATCTCAACCTCATAAGTAGCTAGGATTATAGGCATGAACCACTTGTCATGTCAGTGCTCATAAAATTCCAGATTTGGAAACACTTAGGATTTCAGATTTTTGCAACTCCACTGGTTTTATGCATGAAAGCAAATCATTTGATTTAAAAAGCTATCTTCAGTGCTAGGGATATAGCTTAGTGGTAGAGTGCTTGTCTAGATTGTACAAGGTCCTGGGTTTGATCTCTAGCATGGCTAAACAAATAAAAATTATAGACTTGTAAAATGTTTATTCAGTGTAAAATATACATAGTATCCTAATGACCACTGTAGTTTTAGTTTTCACAACTTAATTTTAGGACTTCTTTTTTCCTTTTGCTGTGTTGGGGTTGGGATTTAAACTATGGCCCTTGCGTGCCAGGCAAGCTTTCTACCACTGAACTAGTCTTGCTAGTCTTGAAGTCTTGCTTATATTTCTGAACATTTATTTGAAAAGCCCTGATTAGGTATCTGCTGATCTGGAAAAGTACTAATTATAGTCTTGTTAATCTAGGTACATAAATACATGGAATAGTAATAGCAAATGCTACCTTCTTCATGTATTTATTTTTGTGTTCATGTATTTATCTTGTATTTTTGGCTTTTGACACTAATTTATTGTCTGAATTACTATTTTTGGTATAGGGAGGCCATTCTGTTGGTTATTCTTCTAGATTTTTTTTACAGGTAGAACAAAATGATGTATGAATTACAATCCATTTGAGACCTTTAGTGTTTCATTAAAATGTTGCCAGATTATTGAAAAATTTAGCCTCTTTGTTAATGTTTGTTAGAGGGAATTCACTTATCCATGAATAATAAAAGGTAAATAATATCATGTTAATTTAGAAAATGAGGTGAGAAAAGGAAGATTATAGCTGAAATTTAAATACTTGTTCTTAAATATTCATTTTATTTTATTTTAGGAGCTTGAACGGGAAATCACATTTAAAGGTGACAGTGCTATTTATTACTCCTATTATAAAGATATGTTAAAGGCACCTTCATTTGAAAGAGGTATGGTAATCACAGATTTTTGTTGTTGGTGGTGGTAGTGGTGGTGGTCATCGGGCTTGAACTCAGGGACTGGGTGCTGTCTGATCTATTTTGGTCAAGACTAGTGATCTACCACTTGGATCTACCACTTTGAGCTTGACTTCCAATTTTCTGGTGCTTAATTAGAGATAAAGTCTCACAGACTTTCCTGCCTGGGCTGGCTTTGAATCATGATTCTCAGGATTACAGGTATGAGCCACCAGCACCCAGCAGTTGTATTTTTTTTTCTCTCTCTCTCTTTCCTTTCTCTCTTTCTCTCTCTCTTTCTTTTTCTTTCCTTCTTTCTTTCTTTCTTTCTTTCTTTCTTTCTTTCTTTCTTTCTTTCTTTCTTTCTTTCTTTCTTTCTTTCTTTCTTTCTTTCTTTCTTTTTTGTGTGTTCCTGGTGCTTGAACTCAGGGCTTGGATTCTGTCCCTGAGCCTTCTGTGCTCAAGGCTAGTGTCCTACCACTTGAGCCACAGCACCATTTCTGGCTTTTTCTTTCTGTGTGGTACTGAGGAATCAAACCCAGGGCTTCATGCATGCATGGCAAGCACTCTACCACCAAGCCATATTCCCAGCCCAGCAGTTGTATTTTTGATAACAGTTTTCTAAATTCTAACATTATTTTTCAATATTGGGCCCTTAGAATGTGGGAGTTTATCTTAGAATGTAACGTTATTCCGCCATAATGTTCTTAATAAAAAACGTCATAGGGTATGTATTTGGAATATCATTAATAGTAAATATTTGAATATTTGTTGAACAGTGAGTGATATGTTTAATCATTATAAAAGCAGAATTAATAATCTGGAGAAAAATCTTTCTCTTTAGGTGTTTATGAGTTGACACACAATAACAAAACTGTCTCTCTGAAGACTATAAATGCAGTACAACAAATGTCTCTATATCCAGAACTTATTGCCAGTGTTTTATATCAAGCAACTGGTAGCAATGTATGTATTTTTCTTTTGCTTTAATGTCTCACATACTTCAGAATCCTCAAATTGTTTAATGTCATCCTGTTTTAACTCCCTTTCTTTTTTCCATTTAGGAGGTTATTGAGCCAGTGTATTTTTATATTGGTATTGTTTTTGGATTACAAGGAATATATGTTACTGCTTTATTTGTTACAAGTTGGCTTATGAGTGGAACATGGCTAGCAGGAATACTTACTGTTGCATGGTTTATTATTAACAGGTAAGATAGGTATTTTAATTGATATTTATAATTTTTTTGTTATTCTGTTAGTCAGAGTTCTGAAGTGTTTCTTCTTCCCAAGACTCCCAACTCTAATCTCAAACTTGTTATCATTCCTGTATTATCCTGCATGGCATAGTTTACGTTAAAGTAGGAAGATTACCCTTTGGGCCTGATCTAATTAATTATACAAGCCCTTAGGAGCAGGGAGCTTTCTTAAGCTTCTGTAGAAGGATAATCAGAGATATTCAAAGCACAAGAAAGATTCACTAAATTATGGCTGGCTTGAAGCAAGGAGGAAGTAAATTCTGCCAGTGAGCTTTTTTTTTTTTGCCAGTCTTGGGGCTTGAACTCAGGGCCTGGGCACCGTCCCTGAGCTGCTTTTGCTCAAGACTAGCACTCTACCAATTCAGCCACAGCACCACTTCTGGTGTTTTCTGTTTATGTAGTACTGAGTCATCAAACCCAGGGCTTCATGCATGCTAGGCAAGCACTCTACCACATAGCCACATTCTCAGTCTGCAGTGAGCTTATTTTTAAGAAGACTGCAAACCCCTGATGAGAACCATAACCCTGGCTGATGCATTGATATTAGCTTAGTCAGAGTGAGAATTCAACCATACTCTCTTGGCCTTTATGAGCCAATAGATTTATTTTGTTTTAAAGCTGTTATCTTTATGTTTATTTGTCACTTAATCAACAGTTAAAAATTACACCAGTTTGGGGGCTGGGAAGGTGGCTCAGTGGTAGAGTGCTTGCCTTGCATGTATGAGGCCCTGGGTTCGATTCCTCAGCACCACATAAGCAAAAAGAAAAAAGCTGGAAGTGGCGCTGTGGCTCAAGTGGTAGAGCACTGGCCTTGAGCTGAAGAGCTGAGGGACAGCGCTCAGGCCCCATGACCGGACCCAAAAAAAAATTACACCAGTTTGTATCTTTTGAAAATTATTAATTTACTTATTATTATAGAGGTAATGTACAGAGGCCCTCTCCCTAACCCTTTGGAAGATATACACTTAAATACACCATACATAAGGTGAAGAAACAGAATCATTAAAAACTTAAAAAAGAAGAAAGAGCTTGTTTTTATCTTAGTGTGTATATTATTTAGATAAATATGAAGAGGCTCTTAGGCATTGTGCCTTTGTGTTTCTCTCTTAAGAGTATCCTCTTTTGTTCTGTGTATATATAGAATTCTGTCAGTTTTGTATCTCTTTGCAGACATAGCAACATAGGCATGTGGCTAAACCTCATTTATCCATCTGTCCATCCATCCATCCACTTACTCATGCACTCACCACCTACCTAGCTGCCTGCCTAGTTATCTACCTACTACCTATCTATCTGTATACCAGAGTTTGAACTCAGTGCCTCCACCTCTTGCTAGGCTTTATCGCTCCAGTTAGTGTCCTACCACTTGAGCTATACCTTCTGTTCAGTGGTTTTTGCTGGTTAATTAGAGATAAGAGTCTTGGATTTGTAAGAATAGGCTGGCTTCAAACTGTGATTCTTAGATCGTAGCCTTGTTAGGATTATAGGCCGGAGCCACCGATGCCTGTTTCCAGTGTTTCTTTAATCTGAAACTTTTATCTAAAAGTTAAATGGGCTCAAGAACAATTCTGGCTAGGATATGTTGTTTATAGTGGTACAGGCCTGACATTCCAGTGACAAAAGGAAGCACAAATAGGATTGCAGTACAGGCCAGCTCAGGCATAAAATTAGACACTTTCTTGGAAATAACCAATGCAAAAAGAGTTTGGCAGAGTGGCTCTAGTGTAAAGGGCCTGAGTTCAAAATACAATACTGCCGGGGGGTGAAGGAAGAAGACTTTGTGTATTTGTGACTCTAGGAATTTTCAAAAGTCTCTTGGTTTATCACATAAAAGATTACTACGTTGGATGCTAAGAGTTGAGGGTCATGGTTCAAAGCCAGGGCAGGAAAGCCCATGAGACTATCTCTAAATAACTACCAAAAAGCCAGATCTGGTAGAATGCTAGCCTTGAGCAAAAAGAAGGCTCGGAGACAGTGTCTAGGCCCTGAGTTCAAGCCCCAGGACAGATGCGTGTGCACACCCCCCAAAAATTACTGTAAAGGTAATTCTAAGTACCTTGTTGACTGAACAAAAATTAAACTTGTTATCAGAAGTATTATATTAACATTTGTGCCCCCTACCAGCCATAGGACCTTGATTTAGTCACATCTTTGAGCTTATTCCTTTCAAAAGCATGTCAGAATTTTGCATCTGCCAGGCTGCTGATTGTGGTGTAGATTGTGCTCTAGAGATTGTAGATAAGGGAAGGAATATTAGTCTATATAGAAATCTATACAAACAGTGCCTTAGCTAGGGTCAGGTTTGCTCAGAGCAAGCATGCCTTTTGTCACTGAGGTCCATCTGTTTATAAGTTTAACAGAGTGACACTCTACTTTCTTGGGTAGGAGGTGGGGTGGGACAGTATGATTTTGCTCATGATATTGTCTAAGTAATGGTGGATCTGTCTATGCCTACTTGACAGGATTGTTAGGAAGAACAGTGAGATATTTTTGAAAGTGCCTTTGAAAAGTATAGTACTAAAATATAATGCCTTGCTTTTGCTGTTATCTGTGGTTTATTTTAGGGTAGATACAACAAGAATTGAATACTCCATTCCTTTAAGAGAAAACTGGGCACTACCATATTTTGCATGCCAAGTTGCTGCACTTACTGGCTATTTAAAAAACAACTTAAATACCTATTCAGAGGTAAGACATAAATCTGTTTTATCCATCACAATTAATTCTGATGCCTCACACATGTACATAATTTTACAGCTAGTAGTAATAGGATTTGTTATGTTAATTAAAGTCTAACAGCTACATAACAAGGGATATAGTTAGATATCCATAATAAAGGATATATAAAAGATATACTACAAAATAACAGATATAGTGGCCAGGTGCTGGTGGCTCACACCTGTAATCCTAAATACTCAGGAGGCTGAGATCTGAGGATCATGGTTCAAAGCCATCCCAGGCAGGAAAGTCTGTGAGACTCTTTATTTCCAATAAACCACCAGAAAACCGTAAGTGGCACTGTTGATTAAGTGGTAGAGAGCTAGCCTTGAGCTGAAGTGCTGAGGGATTTGTTTCTTAAACTCCCTGTATATAATGGATATTAGGCCTTTGTCTGATGCATTGCTGGTAAATACCTTTTCCCAATTGGTTGTTTGTCTTTCTAGTTGGGTAGCTATTTCTGTAGTTGTGCAGAAACTTTTTATTTTAATGTAGTCACATTTGTCCAGTCTCTACAATCTCTTGTGCCCCTGGGACTCTGTTCAGGAAGTTCCTGCCTGTGCCTATAAGGTCTAGTGTTTTTCCTATTATGTCCTGTTTGATGTTGAGGTCTTCAATCCATTTTGAGTTGATGTTAGTGCACAGCGACAGCCTGGGATCTACTTTTAGTTTTCTGCATGTGGCCGCCCAGTTTTCCCAGCACCAGTAGTTGAAGAGGCTGTTTTTTCCACTGTATGTCTTTGGTTCCTTTGTCAAGTATCAGTTGACTGTAAATACATGGTTTTATTTCTGGGTCTTCTATCTATTCCATTGGTTTTCTGGACTATTTTTGTTATTATGCCTTTATAGTAGAGCTTGAAATCTGGTATTGTGATACTGTCTGCATTACTTTTGTCTAGAATTTCTTTGGCTATTCTAAGTCTTTTGTTGTTCCATATGAATTTGTGGATTCTTTTCTCTATTTCAGTAAAGGTCATTGGAATTTTGATGGGGATTGTGTTGCATTTGTATATGACTTTTTGGCAGTATGACCATTTTCATGATAGTGATTCTATCTATCCATGAAAATGGAAGGTCTTTCCATTTCCTGGGGTCTTCTTTGAGTTTTTCTTTAGATTTTTATAATTTTCACTAAATAGATCCTTTATGTCTTTGGTTAGGTTAATTTTTAGGTATCTTACTCTTTTTGAGGCTATTGCAAACAGGGTTGTTTATAATCATTTGAGTGTCTTGGATGTTTGTTGAAATTTTTCATGTGGCATTCCTGATCTTATTGATTTGAGTCTCCTCTTTTTATTTTTGTTACTCTTGCAAGATGTCTGTCAGTTTTATTAATTTTTTTTCAAAAAAACAGCTTTGTTTTATTAATTTCATGTAGGTTGTGAAATTTCTATCATTAATTTCTATTCTTATCTTGGTTACTTCTCTCCATCTAGTAACTTTAGATACAGTTTTTTCTTGGTTTTCTAACAGTTTTAATTGCATCATGAGAGTATTTGCTTGAACTGCTTCTCTTTTCTTGATGTATGCACTAAGGTCAATAAACTTCCCCTCAGCACTGCTTTTGCTTGCTGTGTCCCAGAGGTTCTGTTGTGATGTATTTTTATTTTCATTGAACTGTAGGAACTTTCTAATTTCTCCTTTAATTTGTTCTGTGACCCCGTTGTTATTCAGTAGCTTGCTGTTCAACCTCCATGTATTTGAGTAAATTCTGCCAAATGCTTTGTTGTTAAGAACCAGTTTGATTCTACTATAGAATACATGGGATTATGTCAGCCCTCTTGTATTTGCTTATGTTCTTTGTGTGAACTATGATATGATCTGTTTTGGAGAAAGTTTCATGGACTGCTGACAAGAATGTATATTGGGTCGTTGTTGGTTGGAAAACTCTGTAGATGTCTGTTAAGTCCGTTTTGGGATATGGTGTCATTTAGTTCAGAGGCTTCTTTGCTTATCCTCTGTTTGGTTAACCTATCCTTTGGTGGGAGTGAGGTATTAAAGTTTCCTACTACTATTATATTTGGGTCTATCTTGTTCTGTAAGTCTGAAAGTATTTGTTTGACATATTTAGGGGCTCCATTGTTGGGTGAATATAAATTGATGACTATGACTGTTCCTTGTATTAATATTTAATGAACTTCTTTGTCTTTTTGTGCTGATTTTATTTTATTTTATTTTATTTATTTATTTTTTTTGGGTCTGGTCGTGGGGCCTGAACTCTGGGCCTAGGCGCTGTCTCTCAGCTCTTCAAATCAAGGCTAGCACTCTACCACTAGAGCCACAGTGCCACTTCCGGCTTTTTTCTTTTTGCTAATGTGGTGCTGAGGAATTGAACCCAGGGCCTCGAGCATGCAAGGCAAGCGCTCTACCACTGAGCCACCTTCCCAGCTTTGTGCTGATTTTAATGAAAAGTCTATTTTGTCAGAAATCAAAATGGCAATCCCTGCCTTCTTGCTGGGTGTATTTGCATGGAAGATCTTCTTCCATCCCTTTACTCAGAGTTTGTTTTCTATCTTTGGCTGTGAGATGGGTCTCTTGGAGAAAAAAAAAATGGATGGATCTTGTTTTCTGATCCATTCTGTGGTTCTTTCTCTTTTGATTGGAAAATTGAGTCCATTAATGTTTACAGTTATTATAGAGAGATATGTTCCCTGCCATTTTCTTGCTTTCCTGTATTTTGCTTCTTTCTTTTTCCTGTGCTTTCTAAATTGATCTCCTAGTGATTTCTATCTCATATGGTTCTCTGATCTTGATTGTTTTCTTCAGATTACATTCCTTCTTTTCATATTTTTTGTAGTGCTGGCTCATTGTTCATAAATTCCCTTAATTTTTCTTCATTCTTAAAAGTTTTAGCTTCTCTGTCGAATGTCAATGCTACCTTCGCTGTGTATACTAGTATGGGATGGCAGTTGTTCAGGACTACATAGTACCTTTTTTTTTTTTTAATTGTGAGAATACCTTACAGAGGATTACAATTACATGGGTACATAGTACCTTTTTTTTGGGGGGGTGGCTAGGGGAGTCCAGTCGTGGTGCCTGAACTCTGGGCCTGGGTGCTGTCCCTCAGCTCTTCAGCTCAAGGCTAGCGCTCTACCACTGGAGCCACATCATCACTTCCGGCTTTTTTCTTTTTGCTTATGTGGTGCTGAGGAATCGAACCCAAGGCCTCATGCATGCAAGGCAAGCTCTACTGCTGAGCCACCTTCCCAGCCCCACATAGTACCTTTTGAGGCTATCTTTTCATTGAGGGTTTGTGTGGAGAAGTTCACAGTGATTCTGATTTTCTTTCCAGTGTAATGTAGTGCCTTTGATTTTGTAGCACTTAAAAATCAGCTGTTTGCTACACAAGTCTAGTGTTTTTTACTATGATGTATTTCTTCTAGAATCCTATTAGGTGTTCTGTATGCTTCTGTTATGTGAGTGATATTTTTCTCTTTTTAAGATTGGGAAATTTTTCTGTAATAATCTTACTGAATAAATGTTGCATCCTTCTATTCTTACATTCCTCCCTCTCAACAATCCCAATTATGGGGCTGGAAAGATGGCTCAGTGGTAGAGCGCTTGCCTTGCATGCATGAGGCCCTGGGTTCAATTCCTGAGCACCACATAAGCAAAAAAGAAAAGAGCCGGAGGTGGCGCTGTGGCTCAAGTGGTAGAGCGCTAGCCTTGAGCTGAAGAGCTGAGGGACAGCGCCCAGGCCCAGAATTCAGGCCCCACTACTGGACCCCCCCAAAAAAAATCCTAATTATATGAAGATTAGATTTCTTGGCTTAGTCTGCCAGTTCTTAGACTTCCCTTTGGTAATTTCTAAGTGTTTTTTTTTTTTTTTCCATATCTGTGACTTTCTTCTACAGCTCCTCTTTTATCTTCAACTTCTTGATATTCTATTTTCCATCTCATTTATTCTGTTACCTATGGCTTCCATTGTGGTTTGCATTGTGGAAATTGAACCATTTATAATTCCTATATCTGTTCTCAAAGTGTAAATTTCATCTTTTAATGAGATATATACTGTGTCCTTTTTTTTTTTTTTCTTAGCCAGGCCTGGGGCTTGACCTGAAGGCCCTGGGCACTGTCCTGAGCTGCTTTTGCTCAAAGCTAGCACTGTACCACTTGAGCCACAGCACAACTCGGCCATTTTCTATTTATGTGGTACTGAGGAATCAAACCCAGGGCTTCATGCACTCTACCACTAAGCCATATTCCTAGTCTGCTGTGTCCATTTTTGTCTGCATTTCTTTTTTGAATTTCTGGAACTTCTTTGAAATTTTGTCTCTGTGTATTTCTTTGACCAATTCTGTCATCATATCTTTAATTGTTCATTTGTCCTCCATTTCTTCTTCATTCTCCCTGGAGTTCTTTTCTGGATTGCTGCAGGTTTTTGGAGATGGTATGCTGTCTTGGCTGTTGAAATCTTATAATCTTTCATTGTGATTTACGCCTTTGGGCTCAGGGTTTGTCAAGGCCGTGTCCAAGCTCTGCTTCTTGGTGGGCAAGTGGCAGCCTTTGCTCGGCTCTGGGTTCCTTCACACTGGGTCACCAACTACACTGAGTCCCCAGGCTGGCGTGCACCCAGCCCCAGACTGCCTGAAAGGGACTCTGTTCTGCAGCAGGGACTGAGCAGGTTTCCAGGGTAGGCATTGGCTTCAGAAGGGGAAGGGTGCACTGGGTTTTTTTGTTCATTGGCCCTGGATTATTTCTCTCCCCCCGAGTGGCTGGCGCTTGGTCCACACTTGGACCGCCTGGTCTTAGGTGCGCGTGCGCGCGTGTGCGTGCGCGCGCGCGCTCTGCCTACTATTGGCACACTCACACAGTTCGCAATTCTAGACGGGGTGGGGGTTTCAGCAGCTCCATCCAGGGAGCAGCGCCTCCCTCTGTGTTAAGCACGTTGCCACGAATTTTGCTTCCTGACGGGCTGACACGCAGGCGCACTCGCTTGGCGGATCCCTGTGGCCGAGCAACAGTCCTCGCACCGGCTGCTGCATGCGTGCACACACCACTGTTCCCGGCAGGAGAGCCCCGCCAGCCGCTGGCCTGTGTGTGCACTCGGGTAGCCAGTGCTGTGTGAGACACAGTCCCTGTGGTCTTCCAGCGGAAGCCGGCAGGCGGGGTGTGCGCGATGGGGAAGGGCTGTAGCCCCTTTGGCCCCGTGCAGTGTGGGGTTCCTTCTTGGGCAGGTCCAGCTCTGGGAGGCACCGTCAGCGCTGGGCTCCTGAGGGCTCCCTAGGGCGAGGGCGGAGGCCCCCAGTGGGGTACTCGCGGATCCTGGGTCTGGTTGAGGGCCGTCCGGCGGTGCTGCGGGAGCTCTCCGGAGCAGGGGTCGCGGTGCTGTGCCTCCAGTCTGTCTCTGCGCTGTCCAGCTCCCGCACTGTGCGTGTCTGGGTTCTGCAGTGCGCTGGTGGTCCTGACGTCCCGGCAGCCACGGGCCACTTCGGGCGAGGGGTGGGGAGGGATCTTAGTGGTTTTCCATCTTTGTATGTACAATTTATGAGCTTTCTTTTCTTTTCTTTTCTTTTCTTTTTTGGGTCCGGTCGTGGGGTCTGAACTCTGGGCCTGGGCGCTGTCCCTCAGCTCTTCAGCTCAAGGCTAGTGCTCTACCACTTGAGCCACAACGCCACTTCCAGCTTTTTTCTTTTTGCTTATGTGGTGCTGAGGAATCGAACCCAGGGCCTCATGCATGCAAGGCAAGCGCTCTACCACTGAGCCACCTTCCCAGCCCCGATTTTTCTTTTTTGTAATAGAATGAGAAAGGTCAAGTTTCAGTCTCCTAAAAGTAGGTAACCAGTTTTCCGAGCACTATTTGTTATAGAGGCAATTTCTGGTGATGTTTTGGCTTTTTTGCTGAAAAGTAGATGACTGTAGCTGTGTGGTTTTATTCTAGAGGCTTCTTTTCTGCTCCATTGGTCTTTGGGTCTGTTTTTGTGCTAGTTTTATAAAGCTGCTTTTATGGTTCTGTAGTATAATTTGAAGGCTCTCTGAGACCTTCAGTGTTGCTCTTTTTACTCAGATGTGCTTTTGCTATTTGGAGCTTTTATGTTCCCGTTTGTGAATTTTCAGGTTGATTTTTCTATGTCTGTGAGGAATGACAGTGGGATTTTGATGAATATTGCATTGAATCTGTAGATTCGTTTCGACAGTGCGGCTGTATTTACAATATTGATTCTGCTAGTCCATGAGCATGGTAGGTCTTTTTGTCCTCTTGTGTCTGTAGTTGTTTTTTGTTGTTGTTGTTGTTTTTTGTTTGTTTGATGTGTATTTCTGTCTTCAAGCCTTTTGTATGTATTTGCATTGGTGCTGGTGCTGGAACTCTGTCTCATGCTTTCCGTTAACTTTTTCGCTTAGTGCTGGCACTGTATCACTACTTGACCTCTACTTCCAGCTTTTTCCTGGTTAATTGGAGATAAGAGTCCTGTGGATTTACCTGCCTGGGCCAGCTTGAACTTCAGTTCTCAGATCTAAGTCTCCAGAGTGGCTAGGATTATAAGCATGAGCCACCAACACCTAGCTAAGACTTCTTTTTACCATACCTTTAGTTTGAGAATAAGCTCTTGGCGTTAACACTTTGTTTGAGCAAATGGTACTATTTCCCCCAACCCTATCCCCAGGGGCTCCCCAAAGTGATCTTGGAATATTCTGTAGGTTAATTGGGCTGGATTTGGATTTGAGCCTTCGTTAATTTCTGGAACCAGATTCTCTGGATTTGCTGATCTCAGGCATGCATATAACAGTTATGATTGTTCTACATTTGAAGGCTTCCAGAAAATTTTATATATAGCTATGGTGATAGGAGAAGCTGAAGTTTCTGTATTTCATCAGTGTGGAGCCCTTCTAAGCTTTGCGGTTGGTATTATTTGACCAACTGATTCAGGATACTGGAAAATTCTTTTATCTGGTGATGACTGAAGCGTTTCTCACTGAATTTTATCATTGAATATACGCAGCTAAGTATGAAAGATTTAGTTGTTTTTTTCCTCCCCAATTTATTATTTTAGAGGTGATATACAGTGGGGTTATCTTTACATACATCCAGAATTAAGTACATTTCCTTTCGCATAGTGTCATCTTTTCCCTCATTCTCTCCCATTCCCTCCCTCCCATCTTCACCCATGAGTTGCATAGTTCACGTTCATCATTGTCCAGTGCAGCCAGTGATTTCCACTGGTGCACTTTTCACCGTCTTTCCTCTGATCCTGTGCCCTCTCCCACCCTCCCTCAAATGTGCACGTGAGTATACTATATATAAGGTAAAGAATACAGAGTCAACAACAAAATTTTAAAAAGTGCTTTTTTTCCATATTGAAAGATTTAGTTTTACAGAACAAAATTCTTAGTTTTCTTGACCTTTATTTTCTTTTTGATCATTTGCGGGGCTTGAACTCCGGGCCTGGGTGCTGTGTCTGAGCTCTTTTGCTCAAGGCTATTGCTCTACTACTTTAAGCTATAACACCACTTCAGGTTTTCTGGTGATTAATTGGAGATAAGAGTCTCATGGACTTTCTGACTGCCTGGGTTGGCTTGGGACCATGATTCTCAGATCTCAGCCTCCTTAGTAGCTAGGATTATAGGCATGAGCCACCAGTGCCCAGCTTTGACCTGACCTTTATTATCTTTCTCTTTGACTGTTATCAGAACAAGATCACTGGATACTCATTACACCCAGTGGGGGGAATGGGAATAAAAAAGTAAACCCACAGAAGGAGAGATTTTCTGGAAATACATTTTGTGACAATGAACTTGTCAGAGACTTGACTACTCACTCACTAAAGGGTTATTTGGGAGATGACCTTGGAAGGACAGAACTGATTTTAGCCAGGTATATTTCAGGCAAGAACAGTGAGCTCTTTTTAATATTTAGCAGAGGAAAACAGCTGCAGGTTTTTGTTTTTTATTTTTTTATTTATTTTTTTGGCTGGTCCTGGGGCTTGAACTCAGTGTCTAGGCACTGTCCCTGAGCTTCTTTTGCTCAAGGCTAGCACTCCATCCCTTGAGCTACAGCACCACTTCCAGCTTTTTCTGTTTATGTGGTCTTGAAGAATTGAATAGTGTTCAAACTGAAATAGAAACTTAATTCTTATTCTCAGAATAAAGTTTAAAAATCTTAAGATTTTAATAATAATTTTAAAAATAAAAGAAAGCCATTGATATTTATAGTTTTTTTTTTTCTGTAGAGGTTTTGCTACTTGTTGATGAGTGCTTCAACTTACACCTTTATGATGATGTGGGAATATAGTCACTATCTCTTGTTTCTTCAAGCAATATCTCTGTTTCTTCTGGATATAATTTCAGTGGAACAAAGTGACAAGGTATTGTGATGCTTTAAAGTAATGAATTAAATCCTGAGAATAAACACCATTTTTACAATGTTGGATCTTAATCTACTATTTTTTTAATCACTTGTATTTTGCTGGTTCAGAACCCTAATGAGTACCAACATTTAAGAAACACTTAAGAACATTTAACATTTAAGAACAGAAAGAGTTTAACATATGCTGGGTGCCCGTGGCTCACCCCTGTAATCCTAGCTACTCCGGAGGCTTAGATCTGAGGATTGAGGTTCAAAGCCAGCCCGGGCAGGAAAATCTGTGAGATTCTTATCTCCAATAAACCACTAGAAAAGCGGAACTGGCGCTGTGGCTCAAGCGGTAGAGTGCTCGCCTTGAGCTGAAGAGCTCAGGAACAGCGCCCAAGCCCAGAGTTCAAGCCCCACAACCGACCAAAAAAAAAACAAAACAAAGAGTTTAACATAAAGTACTAATAACCAAGTCTGGAAATGTACTTTAGTGATAGTGTGCTTGTAAGAGTGTGCAATGTTGGGCTGACAAAGTGACTCAGTGGTAGAGCACTTGCCTTGCATGCATGAGGCCCTAGGTTCGATTCCTCAGCACCACATAAGCAGAAAAAAAAAAACAACGGAAGTGGTGCTATGGCTCACGTGGTAGCGCACTAGCCTTGAGCTGAAGAGCTGAGGGACAGCACCCAGGCCCAGCATTCAGACCCCACGATCGGACCCCCCCTCAAAAAAAAAAAAAGAGTATGCAATGTCCTGGGTTTAATATCCAGAAAAAAAAACAACTAAGCAGAGGGTGGATAATGCAGTTGTAGATACTCAGTATACTCAAGAGCCCAGGTTTAATCCTCACCACCTTAAGGCCATAATGTCCATGCAAAAAAAATTATTAATCAAGTATAAAGCCATTAACTTATTAATGGATTATTTGAAAGGGTAGTGTTAATATGGACCTGAAGGTGGCAACCACAGAATAGTGCCAAGGGAGCATTGTGAAAAATAAGGAATTATTAAAACTTCAAAACTTAAGGAGGGCCCCACACATGGAGCTGAAAGGACATAACTAAGAGGAAGTCACAAGGCCCTTCTCCTTCTAGCCTTACACATAACTAAGAGGAAGTCACAAGGCCCTTCTCCTTCTAGCCTTACACATTTCCTATAGCATCAAGTGAAAAAGTCAAAACATCGACTGCCAAGTCCTAACCCTAGAATATTACAGGGTAGAAAGTAGAAGAAGTAAAAGTATGAGTTTATAGATCATTGTGTTTCTGGCTCAAAAACTGGCATACATCTGTATAGAACCAGTGTTTAATCAAGAACAGAACATTACCAACACTTTAAAGACTCCAGTACTGTCAGTTATTATTTTATTACTTCAGTCTACACCTTGACACCACCTATAGATACCTACCATCCTGGCTTTTATTTTTAATAGACTTTTTTATTTTAATAGACTTTTATTTTTAATAGACTGTCCCTGAGCTCTTCAGACCAAGGCTAGCGCTCTACCACTTGAGTCACACAGCACCACTTCTGGTTTTCTAGTGGTTTATTGGAGATAAGAGTCTCACAGACTTTCTCAAGCCCAGGCTGGCTTTGAACCATGATCCTTAGATCTCAGCCTCCTGAGTAGCTAGGATTTCAGGCATGAGCCACAGTGCTCATGTAATTTTTTTTTTTGGTTGTGGGGCCTGAACTCTGGGCCTGGGTTCTGTCCCTCAGCTCTTCAGCTCAAGGCTAGCATTTTACTACTCGAGCCATAGCACCACTTCTGGCTTTTTCTGCTTTTGTGGTGCTGAGGAATCAAACCCAGGGCCTCATGCATGCAAGGCAAGCATTCTACCACTGAGTTACCTTCCTAGTCCCTCTTTTTTTTAAGAAAATAAAACTTTTTTTTCCATTTCTTGGAGTTCATTTTGATCAAGATTATTTTATATGATCAGAGGTTATTAAAGCGATTAAAAAGTTAACACTCTGAGCCGGGCGCTGGTGGCTCATGCCTGTAATCCTAGCTACTCAGGAGGCTGAGATCTGAGAATCGCGGTTCAAAGCCAGCCCGGGCAGGAGAGACCTTGAGACTCCTATCTCCAATAAACCACCAGAAAACCGGAAGTGGCGCTGTAGCTCAAGTGGTAGAGTGCTCGCCTTGAGCTGAAGAGCTGAGGGACAGCACCCAAGCCCAGAGTACAAGCCCCACGACCGACAAAAAAAAAAAAAAATTAACACTCTGTCTTTCTTTTTTCCTATCTAATGCTCTTTTGTCTTAATTTTGCCTTTTTAAAATCGATTAACTTTATAATACATTAAAGTACTCAGTTTTAGAAAAAAACACCACTAAGATATAACCTCCTGCAAGGTCTTACAGTAAGGACATTGTGTTTAACTTTCTTTTTTAATTGGAATTATACAAAACAATAGTTTTCATTGTGATTGTATCAACTTCCTTTTTACTTTTTTTGCCTCTTTTTTCTTGAGAATCTTTTTTTTATTAATGCTGGTACTTGGGCTTGACCTTAGGGTTTGGGTGCTGTCCTTGGGTGTTTTTGCTCAAAACTAGTGCTTTATACTTGAGCCATAGCTCTACTTCCAGTTTTTTGTCATTAATTGTAGATAAGAGTTTCATAGACTTTCTTGCCCAGGCTGGTTTCAAACCGCAATCCTTACATCTTAGCTTCCTGAATAGCTAGGATTACAGGTGTGAGCCATCAGTGCCTGGCAAATCTAATTTTCTGTGCTCACTGTTATGGAAGCAAAAAGCAAAAATACTTTTCTTTGATGGTATATTTTATGGTAGTAAACTTTTTACTATATAAGTTTTTTTTGGGGGGGGTCAGTCGTGGGGCTTGAACTCTGGGCGTGGGTACTGTCCTTGAGCTCTTTAACTCAAGGCAAGCTTTCTACTGCTTGAGCTACAGCGCTACTTCTGGTTTTCTAGTGGTTTATTGGAGATAAGAGTCTCACGGAGTTTCCTGCCCAGCTGGCTTTGAACGCAGTCCTCAGATCTCAGCCTCCTGAGTAGCTAGGATTACAGGCGTGAGCCATTGGTGCCCAGCTATATAAGTTTTGAGTACTTTTTAAGGTTATAATTTTAACTTACACAACTTGAGGTACCATAGATGACTTACTTAGAGGGAAAGCCAAGTGACATTAAGTCAGAGAGTAGCATTAAAGGTGGTTCTTCCAGTTGATTTCAACACTCATGGTTTTAAAGCTCTTTAGTTTGAGAGAGTTCTAAGAAATAAATAATAAATTCATTATAAACCGTAACATTAAAAATACGGATTGGACCATATGCTGGTGGCTCACACCTATAATCCTTGCTACTCAGGAGGTTGAGATATGAGGATTGCAGTTAGAAGCCAGGCCAGATAGGAAAGTCCCTGAGACTCAGAAAAAGCCAGAAGGGGTGCAGTGGCCCAACTGGTAGAGCATGATCCTTGAGCCAGAGAAGCTCAGGGACAGAGCCCAAGCTGAGTTCAAACCAGGATCAGGGAAAAAAAAAAAGATTGGAAATTTTGTAACTGTGTCCAAATTACAGTAAAGCATTTCTGGTATAATTATAGTAAAATAAATCTTAAACCAAATTAATGAAGAGATATGTAATAAATACATTTTATTATTATTCATTTTATTTTTGTTCCAACAGGTTCATGAAGTATATAAAATCTATATATTTTCTCTCTTTCTGGGATATTTACTACAGTTTGAGAATCCTGCTTTACTTGTTTCTCCTTTATTAAGTTTAGTAGCAGCCTTAATGCTTACTAAGTGCCTTCAGGTAATAACTCTGCATTTTTTCATTCTTGTTACTTACTGGTAAATTGTAAAGTTTTTTATATCTTCTTTGTTCATATGATTTTTTTTCCCCACAGCTGAATGTAAAGAAAGGAACTTGTGTAGCGAAAATGATGAAAGTGATTAATTTTTACCTAGTGTGTACTCTGACAGTGACACTAAATGTTATAATGAAGGTAAGTAACTCTGAGATTCAGACAGTAGAGCACATATAGTAGAGTATATAATGTATTTCATATGTTAGGCTAAATATTAATGAGAATAATGAGATAGTAAAGTAATGAAGTCTATATAGTATAATTTATTTCATTGTTACATTTCTATACAGGTTTATACGGTGTTATAATCCATCTCTCCATCCAAATCTCACTCCCCTCCCCCCAAATAGCATCTCCAACAGGTTCCTGGTTTTATAATATTCAACCACCTTTATCTTCCCCACCAGTCCAATTTCCTCCTGCTAGTCCCACCACTCACGTCTATTTTCCTTCCACTCCATACCCTTGTTGATCAACAGACTTCATTGAGTTTCATTATACTGCCTTCATATGTACTTGCTGTGTATTATAGTTACTCACCCTCTTTCTTTTTCTTTCTTTCTCTTTTTTAGAGCATTTTTATTTATTTGTTTATTTTGCTAGTCCTGGGGCCTCACTCAGGGCCTGGGCAGTGTCTCTGAGCTTCTTTTGCTAAAGGCTAGCACTCTACCACTTGAGCCACAGATCCACTGAGCTACTTCCAGCTTTTTCTGCTTATGTGGTACTGAGGAATCAAATCCAGGGCTTCATGCACGTTAGAGAAGTACTCTACCACTAAGCCATATTCCCAACCCCTGTCTCCCCGCTCCTTCTCCTCCTCCCGAGTAGTCACTTAAGATAATTCATGTAGCCGGGCACTGGTGGCTCATGCCTGTAATCCTAGCTACTCAGGAGGCTGAGATCTGAGGATCGCGGTTCAAAGCCAGCCCTGGCAGGAGAGACCGTGAGAGTCCTATCTCCAATAAACGACCAGAAAACTGGAAGTGGCGCTGTAGCTCAAGTGGTAGAGCACTCTCCTTGAGCTGAAGAGCTGAGGGACAGCGCCCAGGCCCAGAGTTCAAGCCCCACGACCGACCAAAAAAAAAAAGATAATTCATGTTCACGGTTTAACCCATGCAAGCAATTACAGTTATGCATGTTATGGATCCTGATAAATGTGTGGATATGTGTATACACGTTAAATATGCATATGTAATTAGATAAGAATATGTTTATGAATACGTATGTATTTTAGTCTAAGTTCCATGTATTGTGTTTTTCTTTTTCTTTTTTGATTTGTTTTACTTATTTATTTTTGTGCCAGTCTTAGGGCTTGAACTCAGGACCTGGGCATTGTTCTTGAGCTCTTTTGCTCAAGGCTAGTATTCTACACTTGAGCCACACAGGTCCATTTCCATCTTTTTGGTGGTTGATTGAAGAGTCTCACGGCCTTTTTTTGTGCCCAGGCTGGCCTCATACTGTGATAATCAGATCTCAGCCTCCTGAGTAGCTAGGATTACAGGCATGAGCCACCTGCACCTGGCATTTTTCTTTTTCTTTCCTTTTTCTTTCTTTCTTTCTTTTTTTTTTTTTTGTCGGCCGCAGGGCTTGAACTCTGGGCCTGAGCGCTGTCCCTTAGCTCTTCAGCTCAAGGCTAGCACTCTACCACTTGAGCCACAGCACCACTTCCAGTTTTCTGGTGGTTTATTGGAGAGTCTTACGGACTTTCCTGCCCAGGCTGGCTTTGAACCATGATCCTCAGATCTCAGCCTCCTGAGTAGCTAGGATTACAGGCGTGAGCTACCAGCCACCAGCTTCTTTATGTATATATTTTTTCTGAACTTATTGAATATTATAACTTCCAATTGCATCTATTTTTCTATAGATAACATTTTATCTTATTTTTTGCTGGTCCTGGAGTTTAAACTCTGGGCCTCGGCTCTGTCCTTGAGCTTCTTTTGCTCAAGGTTAGTGATGTACCATTTGAGCTACAGTGCTACTTTTTGAGTAATTTTTTGACTAGTTTATTGGAGATAAGAGTCTCATGGATTTTCCTGCCCAAGCAGCCTCCTGAATAGCTAGGATTGTAGGCATGAGCCATCAGTGCCCAGCCATAATTTTGTTTTTTATGGCTATGTAATATTTCTATGTGTTTGTTTCTGTGTGTATATATGTATGTTTACTGATTGATTACTCAGTGGGAGTACCCAACATTAGATGAATGATTCCATTGTGTGACTATACTTAGATTGCTTTGGTATTCAGGGTCTCTTTGATTCCATATAAGCTTCTGTATCGATATTTGTGGTTCTGTGAGGAATGATAATGGATTTTATGTGATGAATTTGTACATTGCTTTTGGTATTTGACCAGTTTTACAGTATTAATTCTGCCAAACCATTACCATAGGTATCTTTCCACCTTTTGATGTCTTCAATTTTTTCATCAAGGATTTGATAGAGGTGTTTTACTTCCTTGGTTAGGTTAACACCTACATATAACCTAAGTGTTAGGTATTTTATTGGTTTGGAAGCTATTGTAAATGCAATTGTTTTCCTGATTTTTTAGCCTGTTTATTGTTGATACATAGAAAAGCTACTGATACTTTGGGGTATTGATTTCATACCTTACTGTTCCAAAGGTATTTATCAATTCTAGAAGTGTTTTTTTTTTTTATTTTTGTTTTGTTTTTTCCAATTGTGGGGCTTGAACTCTGGGCCTGGGTGCTGTCCCTCAGCTCTTCAGCTCATGGCTAGTGCTCTACCACTTGAGCCACAGTGCCACTTCTGGTTTTTTCTGCTTATGTGATGCTGCAGAATCAAACCCAGGGCCTCATGCATGCAAGGCAAGCTCTCTACCACTGAGCTACCTTCCCAGCCCAATTCTAGAAGTATTTTGATGGAGTCTAGAATCTATTAAGTACAGACTCATGTCATTAGCAAATTAGGATAATTT